GCACTAGTACTTTTTTGGCTGTTTTGTTTTTCTTTTTTTTTTTTTTGCAGTGTCCATGAACTCTTGTGTTGTTTGGTGTTGGGTGTTCTGTTTTTTTTTTTTAATAACTAGGAAGCAACATGAATACTATATAAAAATTAATGGGTTTAGATTTATTTCATATCAGAAAAAAATTGCATCGGCTGGTATGTATTTATACTACTAGAAAAATAGCCTTTTCCAAATGTTGTTTGGTGTTCTAATATCCTTTACGAAATACATTTTTCAAATGGTGCTATTAGTTTAATTAATCAGGTAAAATCCGTTTCTAATTTAACTATAAAATTATCACTTGGCTCTTTGAATAGCTATAAAGCTAGTTTTAAATGTGAGCTCTTTCAAAATTCTGCAGCCAAAGATTTATGTGAGATGGTATTATAATTACTTTATTCATTCTTTGTGGGGAAAATGAGCTTTCATCTCATATGGCAGTATTTCATTGTGGTTACTGGTTACTCTTAATTATGTGTACTTTTTCATGTGGTTGAGAACAAGCAGTGTTTTCTTCAATAGGAGGCATGAAATTCCCCTAACATATTCTAAATTTGTTTATGCACATTCATAGTTCTCACAACAAAAAAACTAATTGTTTTGAATAAAAACCTCAAGTTTCCTAAGCTGAATTATAGTTCATTTTTAACTTTCTTTTAAGGACCCCAGAGACAGGGCAGTGTGCTGCTGAATATCTCTGAAGCACATTCTACATTAGGATGTTGGAGCTGGGGGTTTATCGTGTTGATGGAGAATGCTAATCCTGAAGATCTCTATTTCTCATCAGTCTCGCTGCATGTGAGAGTTGGTGTATTTTCTATTCATTACTTACTGCTCTAGGAACATTCTCTCTGACCCACTAAATGAAGCCCTAGACAGACTAAGTGGAAAGAACATTATTTTATTACTACTTTAGTGATGTGGGTGCACATAGGTATTATTAGTCGGTCTTAAGACTGGTGCTTTTTACTTCGAGTAGAAAAGTCAAATTAATCATTCCATAGCTAAGGCTTTTAAGTTTAATTGAACCTTCTTCATCTAATATTGGTTGATCAGAACTGGTTACTTTAGCTTTCTATAACCTTTATTTTTTAAGTAGAAAGTGGGGAAGAAAAACCAATGTCTTGGAACTTGCTTTGATGTTCAAAATGGCAAGTTAAATCCATACCAAGTGTAGTTTTGAGTGTTATATGGGAAAGTGCATGATTGGAGGTATAATGTAACCTTTAGTGTGGGATCAGAAAGCTGCCTTTGTGTGGATGCCACAAGCATATCAAAAATAGAATCTTTCCTTTTTTCTGATGAGGAATAATTTTGAACATTTTTTGAAGTTGCAGAAGATGAAGCCTAAATTTCTATGGCAGACTGGTCTTATGAGTCATCCGGATTGACCAAAAGGTAGCCTAGTCTGCTGCTCTGTACATCTACAGAAGGATTACATATCTCTAAATAATTTCACAGTTTATGTTTGGGAAACACTGACCCTGCAGTTTTGCAGTTTGAGGGATGGGGACCCAGGCATTTTGGTAAAACTTCTGGTTCTGGGAGATGGATCAGCAATGTGCTTCCCCTAACCCCATAACTAAGGTGCTGGTTTCAGCAACTGTCCATTTGGGTCTTCTGGTGAAAAACAAGCAAAACTATGCTGGTGAATTCCCTTGAATATCCACACCACTGTTCTAACCCTCTCCCTGTAGTTACAGACGTGAAAGGATATCCTCAGGACACTCGAAAAAGAAGGAATGCTTAGAAACTAAATCTGATAGGCAAGCAATAAAACAGAAATCTAAAAACAAATACAGGCTGTTTAAGTGGATCCATTAACATATATTCCTGAGCTCCTATTGTGTGCCCTGCATAAGTGTAAGCAGACATATAAAAGAATGAGAGTATTTCTTACCTACTATACTTGCCTAATGAAATTTAAATTAATATTAAATTTAGAAATAAAAATGCTCATCATACTGTAAAAAGTCAACGTGGAATTTCAAGCCCACCAAATCATTAAATGGAAAGTTTATTTTGTGTGTCTTGAGTCTTTAAGGTATTATGTGTAAAGCACATTGTGCCTGGCAAAGAGTAAGAACACAGTAAATGGCCATGTTACTGTTGTTGCTGTTGATTTGTGAACGTTCTGCTGTCCAGTCCCAAGTAGGTGTAATGGCTGGTAGTAGACTGTGAAATGACATATAACGCCACTGATCATTCTAAATGCTGAACAAGGAACAGAAAGAGCCAGACAAAAGTCTCATTCCGGGACAGAAAATCAGGCCAATCCCCAAACCTGGTAATTGTCCTTTGCCAGAGTAGATCTTAGAAGGGGCCAGGAGTGGAGGCAGGAACCATGAGAAACAAGCTTTGCTGCCAGGGATCAGAGAACCTCTAGGCATCAGCTTCAAGATAAGTGTGCTAAGAACTAGCCCCCTTCTTAGGCATGGTTTCACCTGAAGTTTGTGACTCAACACTGATTTAATTTTCTGTATAGATATATCTCATTTTATACCTATAGCCTACAATATGATAGACTTTACTTTCCATAACCTTGCCTTAAGTGGATTTTACTGGAATGCATTTATTCTGTGAAGTAGAACATAGCTTATTGGAAAATGCAGCTCTCCCCCATGTGTAGAATTCTGTAGAATGAGGACTGTGAAATGATTTCACAGAACGAAAAATTGCTCTTATGGCCTTAGGAATCACATGATACAAAATTGTCAGCAGGGGAGGTTGGGAAATGACCTTTGCCACCACGGCCTCTGGGCCACATGCTGCCCCTGATACAGGCCGCTTCAGCGCCCTGGGCAGTGAGGCTGACCTGGTTGGCAGGAAATATTAGAGCCTTATCTGTGGCAGCTGCTCTCACCCACCCTTCTGCACCTCAACCTGTTATCTTCTCTCAACTCACCTATCATCTAGGTCAGAACCAACCTTCAGAGACTCGTTTTTCATTCTTAGCTCCCATGGTCTATTCTGTGGTCATCCATCCTCAGATATTTTTCCCCTAATACAGTCCTTCGTCTTTTAGACCCAAAACCCAGTTTTTCAAACAGCAACACACAGGTGAAGCCCAGTATATACAAAAGAGGCTGGAGCCACTCTGGGTGAACTGGGGTAGGATCTAGAGCCCTGCCACCAATTCTCCACCCACCCCTCCCCTGGCTTCCCCTGGGAGCTCAGCAGAACCCTCAGAATCCATAGAGAAGTAGGTTCACCTGTGGAGTTTAAGTTCGTTTTGTGAGCATCTACCATGTGCATCTGCCACAAGATAATTATGGAAACAGGTCTATCGTGGTGGACAGAACAAGCTTTAAGAGACAAAGCAGAGTCTTTCCTTTTCCTGATTCTGAACTGTCCAAATCCCCCTCGAGTCCAAGCCTAACAAGGTGGGTCACCGCTAAGGCTGAGGTTTTGAAAAGCTGTGCTTATGGTGGGCTGTCCCACCCCAAAGGTTAGGAGCAGAGAAACGGTGAAAGAGTGTCTTGGGGGAAGAAAAGAAACCCAGTCAGCGAGGCCCGGAAGTCAAAGCCAAGTGAGAGGGGAGAGCAACCAGGACCCAAGACAGAGCCCGGCATCTGCCTCCTCCATTGACCATCGACAGCCGTGTGGGTGGGTCAGGGCAGACACGTGGGGGACGATGGTCCTCTCGGTTCATAGAGTATTCTCTTTGGTTCTGGCCTTGGCTTGTACCCCTCCTCCTCCCTTCATAAAGAAAGAAAGCAAACTCCTGTCAGTCCTCTCTTGCCTCCCTCCTTTATAAAGGGCCCTGTGATTTTGTGAGGCCCCGAGAAGGCTGTGCAGTTTCTAGGCTGGCTTCTTGGTCGCCAGACCCAGAGCAGCAGTTTTCAGTCTTGTCTCTGGCCTGACACTCTTCAGTCATGTTCACAAGCCCGACACGCTTCCATGGACATGGGCAGATTTTGCCAACTCCTCCCCGCCCCCCACAGGGCCTCGAACGTTTTGTGTGCTGATAATTTTAAAAGCACTGTACTGACTAAAGCAGCTTGCCAAGGATCCGTCAGGAGTGTAGGGTTCTGAGGGACTTCAAGGCAGAGGAACCAGCTGCACCGTCTCTTCTCCGTCCCCTTCCCTCTTACTTAGGAAAATGCATCGATGTAAAAATTAGAGTAGGTGTAATCTTGAATTTTCTCTAATTTCTAAAAGAGTAATTATTAGAAAATATGCATGCTACAGCAATAATTTAACCCTCTTATGGTTGACACAGAAATGAAGACCTTCAAGTATGTTTGTGATTCAAGTAACACTCTAATAAGCTATGTTTAAGGTCTTTTGTCCTAGGAATCTTGATATGAATTATAGTATCAGTAGCTTTTAATTTATTGTTAGTGTCTTGCCTGTGTCCAAAAAGGAACGGTAGTAATTTGCACATACTAATAACACTGTTAATGTGGAAACAGAAATGTTTAAACCTTTTCTAATAAGGGAGACAAAGCAAATGTGTAACCATTCTTTGTGCCAGTAAGTCACTGCACACATAATATTTATTCTTGAGCTTCCCACTAGCGAAAGTAAGAAAAGAAAGTGTGATGAAGAGAAAGTGTAAGTCTTTTGAGAAAGAGAAGTTCTTTTCAAGTACTAAATTGTAAAAATGGTTTGTCACAGAGAACATTAAATGTAAGAGATGATACAGGAACCTTGTTTTTACAACCATCACAGATGCATCATATTTGTGATCCTTGATTAGATTCTGCCCGTCCTCCTCATGACATAACTCTGCTTTGCTTTACAAAACCACAGTCATCTTGCCTAAAGATGACTTGGTGATAAACCAGAAACTCACATATGTTCACTCAACGTTTATTAGAGGTCCAGCCCCAGCCTGGGTGTAAATTCAGGCCATAGATTAGGTTTGGAACAGTCTGAGTTCCCATCAATTAATGCTAATATGCTCATTTCATTTCTAAAACTGCAGGATTTCTAATTGATTTGCTTTTAAAATCTGCCTTCTTTAGGAGTTCTATGGAATTTATCCTCATGTGATGCCGTAAAGATGACAATCATCCGAGATGCTCTCTCAACCCTGACAAACACTGTGATCGTTCCACATTCTGGATGGAATAACTCTTCTTTTGATGATGATCATAAAATTAAATTTCAGACTTCACTCGTTCTGCGTAATACAACAGGTTGCCTGAGGTAGATATTTTATTTCTTCTTTCCGTTTGTCTGTGATTAATATGTGTCATAGCTAAGTTGATTTTAGGATGATTTACTTCACTTTCATTAATATCTATGTAAGTTTCCAAGTTTGTTTCAAAACTTAGGCCACTAGACTTTGTTCATCTGTGAGGAAAACATTATGAGCACAGACTAGTGGCTTGATAGACATTATCTTGTAAATGATTCTTATCTTGTAAACGACTCTTCTGTAGACTAGTCAAAAAAACCCTTTCAGTCTGAAAAATTACTGACAAAATGCCAGTGTTTTACACTTTGAAAGCATTTTTCTGGTTATTACATTCTGATTGCTAATGTGTTTGCAGCCTGGTTTTTGTTTAAATTCAAAATGTAGAGGTATAAACTTTGAGTTGTAAAATAAGTAAGTCATGAAGGTATGATGTACACCTTAGTGACTAGGTGCTGTGTGTGTGTGCTTAGTCGCTCAGTTGTGTCCGACTCTTTGAGACCCCATAGACTGTAGCTCCCCGGGCTCCGCTGTCCATGGGGATTCTCCAGGCAAGAATACTGGAGTGGGTTGCCATTTCTTTCAACAGGGCATCCCCCAACCCAGGAATCGAACATTGCAGGCAGATTCTTTAGCATCTAAGCCGTCAGGGAAGCCCTGGTGACTGTGGTGACTATAGTCAACAATATTGTGTTGTAAAGTTGAAAGAGACTTAAGAAAGTTAATCTTAAAAGTTCTCATCACAAGAAATAAAATATGTTTTTGACTTTCTGTAATGACAGGCTCACTGTGGTGATCATTTCACAGTGTATACAGATGTCAAATCACTGTGTTGTACACCTGAAACTAATACAATGTCTGTTAATTAGACGTCAGTCTTTTTAAATCGGGGCTTCTCTGATAGCTCAGTTGGTAAAGAATCTGCCTGCGATGCAGGAGGCCCCAGTTCGATTCCTGGGTTGGGAAAATCCACTGGAGAACGGATAGCCTACCCAGTTTTCTTGGGCTTCTCTTGTGGCTCAGCTGGTAAGGAATCCACCTGCAATGTGGGAGACCTGGGTTCAATCCCTGGGTTGGGAAGATCCCCTGGAGAAGGGAAAGGCTACCCATTCCGGTATTCTGGCCTAGAGAATTCCATGGACTGTATAGTCCATGAAATCTCAAAAAGTCGGACATGACTGAGTGACTTTAACTTTTTTAATGTAATAGTTGAAACCTTTTTGCTTTTAAAAGGGTGCAGAAGGGTGTGGTTTAAACAGTCATTGGATTTGAGTTTTATAAATAAATGAAAATGAACCCAAATACTATTTTCAGTCATTATCTTTAGCACTTGAAATCCAGAAAGCCTCCTTTAAGTGTTACAGCATTGCTCCTTATTTGCTGGTCATTCTCATCAGCTGTTGCCCAGGTTTCTTGGGAACTTGAAACAAACCTTAGGGCTCTGCCTCAGACAGACTGGCCTCCTGTCCCATTCTGAGCCTTGGTCTCCTTATCTTTAGAACAAGGATAAAAATACCATCTCAGAGTTGTGAAGACTCAGCTTGTATAGAATGCTTCGTGTAGTGATAACACAGGGAGCGCTATTCACGTTTAAGCTAAGATGTCTAAGCATCTCTACAACAGAGCTTGTGGGAGCGGGGGGAGGGGCCTGGGCTTCTCCTCTGAAGCCTTCCCCGTTGGAATGGTTAACTGTGGGCTCCTTCGCCTAGAACCGGCGTGGTGGCGCTGACAAGAGTCAAGCTCCCTGACTCAGATTCCTGCATCACCAAGCAGGTCACATAGCCTCTCCTGCTAATTCATGGAAAAAAGTTTAAGCCTAGATCTGAAATACTACAGGAGCTGCTCACATGAGGGCCAGTGAGGGAGGTGAGCAGGTCACACATCTCGGCAGAGAAAACAAGGAGTGTAAAGACTCTGGGGCAGGAGCGGGCTTGAGGCTGGAGCTTAATGGGCAAGGCAGAGTGGTGCCAGGTTATGTCAGATTTTTTAAATCACAGGAAAGAGTCTGTACCACATGCCAGTGCCATGGGAAACAGGGTTTTAATCACGGGAATGGGCATGGTTTCTGACTATGATGTAGGGGACAGTGGAGGCAAGAAGGTGAGGCTGTGCATCAATCCAAGCAATCAATGAGAGCGGCTGAGACCAGGCTCTGGAGAGAGGTAGGCACAGTGGGGTATGTTATGGAGGGAAAGGCTGACAAGATTTGCTTATTGACTGACTGTGATAGACAATGAAAAGGGAGAAAGTAAGGACAGCACCTTTATCTTTGGCCAGATCAGCTGGGAGCATGGAAGTGCTGTTGATGAGGTCAGGCAGAGGGGTGGGGGGAGCAACTGAGGATTTAGGCTGGTCTACTTTGAGAAGTCTAATTAGCTATCCATACAGTAATATCAGGATAAATGAGTTTGGAGATCTTGAGAAGGGTTACACTAAAGATAGACATTTGGGGGTCATGGGTCCATAGGTTGTGTTCCTTGTGTTAAATCCAAGGAACAGAAGGACACCACTCAGGAAGAGTGCAAAGATAGAGGCAGGGACCAGTATAGCCCTGGGCACCCCAGAGGGACCCACGGGCAGAAGAGGCTGAGAAGGAAGACAGCAGATGAGAGGAAAACCAGAGAGATATGAGGAACAGAAGAGGGCAGCTGTTGAGTGCAGCATAGAGGTTACCATGGATAACAACAGTAGAGGGATTATATGTGATAGTATCTCTTTGGCCTCAGAAAAACAAAGGTGAAAAGAGAAATCATTCTCAATCCCCCTTGCAAAGGCTAATTTTTGCAAAATTGCAGAGTTAGACTACTTTGTTAATGGCACATAAAATAGAGCCTTATAATTTGGTATCAGTTCACAAAGTTGAATGGATAGTAAAATTTCAGTATGGATGAGACCTAAAAACAACTCAGAATTTTTAATAATTTAAAAGATGAGGAAAATTGTAGCATGACCAAGTGTTCTTATTTAACCTGAAGTTTTTGTATTAGAAATGATGTTTCCTCTGTTCATTCAAGAAGCATTTATGACCATCAACTACATGCAAAAAATGTTTTAATAGGTGCAGGGACTGCCAAGGCCTTATGGCCTTACAAGGAAGTAAAACTGCCTGAATATAGCAACCATGCGTGGCTAACAAACATCCTTTCACATGGTGGGGACTTTTGTAATTGCTTTATCTGTAGCAATTCATCTTTTCCTCACAGCAATCCTGAGATAGTTACTATTATTCCTCCCTTTTTTAGGAGGAATAACTTAAAAAAAAAAAAGTTTAGGAGGAAACTCAGGATAAGCCCCCAAAATAATTATTTTAGGAGGTTAGAAAGTGACCTGTCACAAGAGAGATACAAAGTTGAAGTGTCCCTGCTGTCTTCTATTCATGGCTAATGAGGGGCTGGCTATTGTGGTGAGCTCTTGAGATATTAAAATGCAGGCTCCATACGCCTCCTCAGACCAGATTTACATGCTGCTCTGCTGTCCATTCTCAGATCATTAAGGTAAGGCTCCATGGCTAATGAGCTCCCCCATGTCTCTGCCTGTGTAGGAATCTCAGCTCTGCTGGGGAGGAAGCAAGGAAGCAGATGCGGTCCTGCGAGGGGCTGGTGGACTCGCTGTTGTATGTGATCCACACATGTGTGAACACTTCCGATTATGACAGCAAGGTCAGTGAATGCTGGTTGGCAGAGGACAACAGCTGCTGAGCACCACTATCTGCATGCCTTTGACTCTGGCTGGAATTCCTGACCCTCTCCTCTTCGTTAGGTTACACTCCAGGTTAAAGGGAGAAGTCTAAAAATTACAAGTTAACAGAGACAAGAGAACTTAACGAAAATAGCCTTAGAACCGTGAAAACTGAGTGATTCCATGTGGTTAAGAACCTTAGCAGGGTCCAGACCTTCTCTCTGATTCTCCTGGGCTCAATGTCAAGGTGATTGCCCCACTGCTGTTCTCTCTAATTCTGTATCCCCTGCTGCTACAATCAGATCCATCTGCATCTGAATATCTACTGAATAAAAGTTCCTGATTGAGGCACTGGAATCCCCCCCACCTCTCTGCCAAACCTGCCTCGGTACCAAAGGATGCCCCTTTCTACATCCCAGATTACTGCCTTTCATCCACTCCCTCTGTTCCTAGCACGAGCCCCTTATCCTCCCCTCCTATTTTCTCCATCTGGCCCTTTACAAGGCATTCTGCTCATCATCCAGGGTCTGCACTGGCATCATAGGCTGGGGAAGGTGGGAAGAAACAGGAAAGAGGGACTAAATGTGTCAAGAATTCCAAGGCAGGCCAGTCATCATGTATTATTCAGATTGGGCTAGACAAAGAGAGGCCACAAGTAGGCCTGGGTTTGAAAATAAGGGTCTGTGAGAGAAAAGAATGATGAGTGGTAGGCTTGGGAGGAGGTAGAGGAGAATTCAAAGTGACAGCCAGATTTTCATTTGAGCTTCATTGAACCAAAAGATCCACAGATGAAACTGAGGAGTAAATAAATTGGAAGGGGAAAGCTTGCGGGGCAAAACTGAACTTGGTTTTTGACACTCTGTGTTGAATAGACAGTTGGCCTCTCAGTTAGAGGTGTGATAGAGACTTTGGGGGGCCAGAGACCATGTACAGAAGACAAAATGTAGAACGAAAGAGATCGTGGAACTTTCCACAGATGGAGGGGAGAGGTGGGAGATGGAAGAAGAGGACAAAGCTGGCACTTGGGGGAGGGGCTGTGAGAAGGGGTGGGGTCCTGGTAATTTGGGGGCATCTGCCACTGCAGCAGCCCTGAAGCAGAAACCTTGGGCATTCTCCCCTCCAGAGCCCCGCACATTTCACTCAGTGTGACATCAGATCCTCAGCTGTAGTGCAGGTGGTCTGCACACTCTGTGAACTTGGGGTCCCACCAACAGTCTGGAGTCAGAGTTCTGACTTTCAGATTGCAGGGTCCCATCAGTGAAGAACAGTTCTTTCATATTCTGCATTTATTTAGTGCCACTGGTGCTTGGTACAGAAGCATCTTGCACTAACATGATGCGATGGTTTTAACCCTGCGCCGTGTTGGGTCTCAGACTGTGGAGAACTGCGTGTGCACCCTGCGGAACCTGTCGTATCGGCTGGAGCTGGAGGTGCCTCAGGCCCGGATGCTGGGGCTGAACGAATTGGACGACTTACTCGGAAAAGAGTCTCCCAGCAAAGATTCGGAGCCAAGCTGCTGGGGGAAGAAGAAGAAGAAGAAAAAGAGGACACCACAAGAGGATCAAGTTAGTATTTTATTTGACGTGAAACTCTTAAAGTTTCATTTCTCTGGGAGTAAGAAATCACATATTTGGCAAGAAAAATTTTTTTCTCAGGATTCAGCTTTTCTGCATAGCTCTAGCTGAGTCCAGCAGAAAGGAATGTTTTCAAATGTTGAATACTGTGTTCACTTTGCCTCCACCAGTGCATGTTCTTTGTCTTTCAGTGGGATGGAGTTGGTCCTATCCCAGGACTGTCGAAGTCCCCCAAAGGCGTTGAGATGCTGTGGCACCCATCGGTGGTAAAACCGTATCTGACCCTCCTAGCAGAAAGTTCCAACCCAGCCACCTTGGAAGGCTCTGCCGGATCACTCCAGAACCTCTCTGCTGGAAACTGGAAGGTAGGGTGTCCTCTGCTCCTCCACACCTCCATGCAGTCAGACCAACCATGGTCAATGAAAAGGGATGAACGAAGGTGTTCAGAGCTTGGTAAAGGGTAGGAGGAAAGAAGAGAGGAGACTGCAGTTGGCTCAGGGGATCCAAGGATGAATATGACATAGCCCTTCCCCATGAGAAACTGAAGGCGAAAGAGAAAAACAGACGTACTGAGTAAGTGTTGTATAGACTCCATGGTCTTGGAAGAGGACCTCTAACCCAACCTGCTGAGGGAAAGGCAAGGAAGGAAGGACTCCAGGAGGTAGGGAAGAGTTCCTGGGGGGATGGTGCTGCCCAAGTGGAACCTTTAAGAATGAGCAGATGAAGCCCGCACAGCGTGAGGTTGGGTGCAGAGGGAGCTTTCCAGATAAAGGGACAAGAGAAGACAAGAGCTCTCAGAGTGAGGATGTCATGGGCGGAGGCTACAGGCTGGTGGCTGAGATGTGCAGGGGGACAAAGAGTGCCCATGGTGGAGCTGGCCCCCGTAACCAGGCCTGACGGCCAAGCTCCAGGAGCTAAAACCTGACCTTCAGACCAGAGGGGCCACTGAAAGGGTTTAAGCAGACAGGCGACATAAACAGATTGATGTGGACACGGTTGGATCCCATCTGCAGCTGCACTGAGAGTGAATTTGAAGTCAAGAGCCATGGAGGCTGGGATTCTGTTGGAGAGCCTGGTGAGAGATGCCGAGGGCCTGAATTAGAGCTGAGATTGGGCCATTGTTCCTTTCTAATACTTGCAGAAGCTATGTGTGGCAGAGTTTCTGCCTCCACTGTAAACGTGTGACTTCATTAGGAAAATTGAAGGTGATTTCCTACTGTTACCACTATAAGCAAGTTCTCAGAACTTTTTAAATATCATCTGACAATGTCTCAGACAACCCTTGTTTGAAACATTTCAACCTCTAGAAGTCTGCCGACAAGTATGTTTTAGTAGAATTATTATAATGCTTGTTTTTGGTTATTTCCTCCATCACCACTTCCCAAAACGAAAATTGTCTGGGCATTGTTTTTTTCCATAAGAGTGAAAAGTATTGCATTGCTAGCATGCAGCCAGCTGTTCTAATGCTTATATATAAATAATTAGGCCTAGTGCTAAGCCACTGTGGTTTTTTGTTATTGTTCTTGATGTGTGTATAACTGAGTCACTTTACTGTACGGCAGAGATTGGCACAACATTGTAAATCAACTATTTATTAATTAAAAACATTAAAAGTGCTAATAGTATCTCAGTACTGACTCTGGAGCCAGACCCCTGACTTTGAATCCTGCCCTACCTCCCTTACCAGCTGGAAGCCTCAGATCTTTCTGTCCTCAGGTTCATCATCTGTAAAATGGAAATAATACCCACCTCATTATGTGGTTTTAAGGATTAAATGAGATAATAAATGTGGAGGACTATGGACGGTGCCCAGCACATAAGTATTCATAAATATTTATGTTGGTGATATGGTGTTCACCTCCAGCTTCTTATGACCTGAGAATCATAAGGTGATTTTAAAAAAGACAATAATTAAAATAGATATGATTTGAGTTGTAGAATTTTATTTCCTGGGAGCTTTAGTGAATAGAATTTAAACAGCAGGGTCATTTAAAATGTAAATATTATATGGAAGTGATTTCAAAGATATCTAATATAGTAAATCAAAATATTGGACTCTCATTAAGAAAACAAGATAGTCATGGTGAGAGATATGAGCAAGTCAGAAGCTGTTTTGGGAGTGGTAATGGTGGTAATGTTCTGAAAGGGAGGCACTTGAGGTAAACTGAGCCAGTTGTCTCCAAGACAGACAGGCATTGGTTCTGTCCTTGCAGGTTTCAGAGGGAGAAGTTGCCAAAGCTGCCCAAGTCCTTTACCCAATAGCAAGTTGTGTATTATGTCTCCCCTGCAGATTTCATTTGATTTAGAAAACAGGAGTGTTGACCTCACTTGAAGAAAGCTAATAGGATCTTTGAAATGCATCTTTTCCTTTTATTTATGTTTTTAAAAATCCATTCTGTTGATATTAAAGACGTGTCAGTCACATATTTTCATGTTCAAAATAATACAAAGGGCTGGCAGATCTTTGTCCTTGTGTCTTGACCACAGCAGGAAAGTATTAAGATGTTTTATGAGCAACATTTTTCAATTATCCTAAATTTTGAAAGATAGTTTGTATTGGTAAAAATGTCAGTGAAAGCTCAAACCAAGATTAAAGACCCATTTTCAAATGTTACTTTTTCTGTTTGTTTGTTTCCTTGATGACTCCGTGTTCATTTCCAATTCATGTGGTGCCCAAACTGACTCACTGTACAGACTTGCCTCTTAATCACGAAAGAAGTTTTTGACTGTGGATTTTAAAAAAGCAGCAGCAGCAGCTAACTAATCTTGAATGATAAAGCATTTTGCACACAGATATACTTACTTTTTCACCAGTGTGTATGAATTATGATGCTCAGTGTTCCTGGAGAGTTCCTTTTCTTCCAAGGCAAGGGCTTTTTTTCCCAAGCAATTTTTTGAAGGGTTACTAAACTGTAAATATAGTTGCAGAGAATACAGGGGAAGGATGATTGGATGGAGACAGGTTCTCCTTTAATGTGCACTGATCAGTCACCAGCTCTGCTATCCTATTTATAGCCTCTGGACCTGGCATGGGGCCAACTGCAGAGAAGACACGCCATCCGTCCTTAATCATGTTTATGTAGCCAAAGTAGAAAGTAATCACTGCCTTCTCTTTTCAGCACAAAAATATCTGCCAGATGGTGGTTTGAGGTTTTCAGGCTTTGGGATTTCTTTTTAAATCAGTCATCCTAGCTTATCTTTTTCCCAAACTGATTTTCTCTTGACTGGCATCACCGATTTAATCTCCAGTTGGAAAGAAAACATTTAATCTATTAGTTCATCTTTTGAAAACATCTTTCTTAGGTGACAGTAATGCCTGAGAGTTGCCCTCTGTTTTATATTGCTTATTACCTTGTTTTGTTTCCTAGTTTGCAGCATATATCCGAGCAGCCGTCCGCAAAGAAAAAGGGCTCCCCATCCTTGTAGAGCTTCTGAGAATGGATAACGATAGAGTTGTTTCTTCTGTGGCAACTGCCTTGAGGAATATGGCCCTAGATGTTCGCAACAAGGAGCTCATAGGTATGTTCTGGTGACCTGATGAACTCTAAAGAGAAATGACAGCATTTATAAAGCTCTTATTTTGATTCATAAAAATATGATATTTAAATGATTAGCACCTGAGTCCTGGTCCCTGGTTTCTTGGTGTATTTTGTACGCTTGTGTCTGTCCTTTCTGACCACTCCTTTTCAGCGAGAGGCAGGCCTATTAATTAAACATTGATCCGGAAGGTAAGTGTTCAGAAAAGCTAGCAATTTCAGTCATACATTACAAAGCTACTTGATAGATTTGGTGTGACTGTTTCCCAAAAGAGGTTCATTTCTTTTTTTTTTTGGTAAAGTTTTTGGTGGAGGTGCCTGTTTAGGTGACTTTTGTCGATGTTAAATATTGTCTTATGTCAGTACTTTCCACCTCTACTTTTATTTTTATTTTTTTTCCATTTATTTTTATTAGTTGGAGGCTAATTACTTTACAATATTGTAGTGGCTTTTGTCATACATTGACATGAATCAGCCATGGATTTACATGTGTTCCCCATCCCGATCCCCCCTCCCACCTCCCTCTCCACCCGATCCCTCTGGGTCTTCCCAGTGCACCAGGCCCGAGCACTTGTCTCATGCATCCAACCTGGGCTGGTGGTCTGTTTCACCCTAGATAACATACATGTTTCGATGCTGTTTTCTCGAAACATCCCACCCTCACCTTCTCCCACAGAGTCCAAAAGTCTGTTCTATATATCTGTGTCTCTTTTTCTGTTTTGCATATAGGGTTATCATTACCATCTTTCTAAATTCCATATATATGTGTTAGTATACTGTAATGGTCTTTATCTTTCTGGCTTGCTTCACTCTGTATAATGGGCTTCAGTTTCATCCATCTCATTAGAACTGATTCAAATGAATTCTTTTTGATGGCTGAGTAATATTCCATGGTGTATATATACCACAGCTTCCTCATCCATTCGTCTGCTGATGGGCATCTAGGTTGCTTCCATGTCCTGGCTATTATAAACAGTGCTGCGATGAACATTGGGGTGCACGTGTCTCTTTCAGATCTGGTTTCCTCGGTGTGTATGCCCAGAAATGGGATTGCTGGGTCATATGGCAGTTCTATTTCCAGCTTTTTAAGAAATCTCCACACTGTTCTCCATACTGGCTGTACTAGTTTGCATTCCCACCAACAGTGTAAGAGGGTTCCCTTTTCTCCACACCCTCTCCAGCGTTTATTGCTTGTAGACTTTTGGATAGCAGCCATCCTGACTGGCATGTAATGGTACATCGTTGTGGTTTTGATTTGCATTTCTCTGATAATGAGTGATGTTGAGCATCTTTTCATGTGTTCATGTGTGAGATTCATTTCTTAAACAATAAAAAAAGGTCTGACTCTCACTTTTCTGATTTTTGAGACTTAACATCTGCTAATTCACCAATACTACCATGTTCTAAATTTTAAAAAGAAATCAAATGAATGTTTTGTAGCTTTTCCTTCTCATATCTGTGTAAGTGCTCACACCAAAACAGAGCCACTGCCCCAAGGCCTGACCCCAGGGCAGGGTCAGGATGAGGGAAAGGCAAATGAGGCATATAGGGCACAAAATTCTAGGAGGCATTCACCCTTAAGTCAATTCAAATGTGGCTAGCACTTGCATGAACTTGAGAATGATCTCCTCTTCAAAGTTCTGCGCTTTTGGCAGCTTACCTTGCTTGCCTCCTAGGGATGGCCACATCCCAAGCAGAGTATGGAATACAGAAAAGATCAGAGACCCTCCAGCAGACCACAGGTTAAACCCTGGATCCACTGCTCACTGGCTCTGTAACCTGGGGTGTCCTGCATAGCCCACCAGGCTCTGTTCCTTCATCTCAATTGAAAACTCCTCCTTGGTTTCCATCTCTGAAAGGAAGCTGCCCATGCCAGCTCTCCTCACAATGGACTTGCTATGAAAATGCAAGCTCTATGTCAGACCCATAGCTGGTGACAGGTCAGGGGAGGAGGAGGAGAAATTAGACAAGACCTTATGTGGATTAGTGAGTGTATATTGAATTCATTAAAATACCCCTGCGATGAGAGATAGGGAAAGGGGAAAGGAACAGGGGCCAGAAGGTTTGCCTTACAGAGTGACCGTGAGAATTCTCTATGGCCCCTCGAACAGTGCCAAACAGCAGTGCTATTTTAAGTCATTGCCTGGATTATCCTGTACTTAAAACACCATTCCTCCATGGAGCCAAACTGTACCTCACAGAGAAGAAAGGAGCTTCTTCCGCAGTCTGTTCATACTCCAACTCGTGCCTGATTCCAGTAGATGTGTTTATAGCTCTTAGTTCCCACATTTCCTTGAGAGAAATCCTCTAGGTCCCTAAAGAGAGATTTTTTAAGTTATTTCTGTTACATCTATATTATTTGAATTTATAGTTTGGGAGTTCTTACTGCTAAAAAATAAAGGGTTGGCCACAGATGCCTTGCGGCCTATCATTACACACATGGAGGAGAGAGTGGGAGAACGGAGGGTGCCGGCCAGCTCCGTGAGTGCCAAGACCTGTCGGGAGAACCAGTGTGCCTTCCGGGGCCTGGCCTTCTCTCAGTGCCTCCCTGTGTTTTTCTGAGTTCCTCACCCCCTTTCAAACTTCAGTGAGCATTTTCTGCCTCCACTCATGAGCTCTATTTTTCCCAGCATTATTTACTCAGGAGTCACTTTTTCTTGTTTCCCCATGAAGATCCCTTCCTTCCTAGGCAGTCTGAGCCCCTCCCGGGTTCAGTATCTGACTCTGATTTACCCAGCATTTCTGTTCCTAACAACCACTCCCTTCACTCTTTCCTCACGTCCAGCATTAGCAGTGGACTCTGTCTCCAGAGACATTTCTTCACGAAGAAACAGTTTTGTGAGTTCACAAAAGTTCCTGCATATTCACCTGAGTCTGACCGAGCCAGCTGTCTGGGCTGCAAGCTCTGAGAGAGCTGCTCGGGTCGCTCACAGATGGAGGGAGCGGCCTTCTCCCAAACTTCCAGAGTGCAGTTTAAATCTTTGCCTTAGCAAAATGACAGATTACATGTTGCGGACCTTCTGGTCATTCACAAGTATTCACAATCACAAGTGCTAACTTATCTTTTCCCAAAAACCATATTTATCTTTTGGCTTAACATTGTCATCACTGTTTTTCCACTCTTGGTAACAATATTCTCTATGAGGAAAGCTCAGGTCTTCCCTTGACATGCTGTAAATTATGGTGCTTGTATTCAGGCCCTGTCTTCTGTTGCTTACCACTGTATATAAATAGGTCTTCAATAAAAATCCCATTTAGCATCCACTCATTATAAGCATAAGGGAAGAAAAAATTTAAGAAAATATTTACTTGCACTTCAGTTAATTTCTTTTGTCTCTAATGCAGTTATTCCAGTTTGTCAGTCAGTAATTGAAATGAGAAAAGCTCAAGATAATTCCATTTTGGAGAAGAGTAAGGGAAATTGAGGGTCTGTAAGGAAATGCTTCAGGAGCGAGGGGGCTCCCCTGCCTGGTCCTGTTAAGAACTTTATTATTATATCACTCCTGAGACAGACAGCATACTCATAATAGTCATACCAAAATTGTACTTGTGTCTTCTTTGAAAGAAACAAACACATTGTTATTGATGTCAGATGTCAGACCAACCGATATAAACCCTCAACTTGATGAAAATATGTAACTACCCAGTTCAAATGTTTAGATCTAGAAAGATATCATGGAAAGTATTTTTGGTAGCCTTACTTGGTCAGCTTAAAACTTATTCAAAGAAAAGTTTTTAAAAGCTTTAAGAGGAAGTTGTAGTTGTGATGCAAAAGAATTGAATGGAGAACAGTATTTACTATCATCATTCCTTTATTCCCACTGTTCATGAAAATAGTGGAAACCAAAGCAACATGATTTAGTATACCAGTTTTATACCCTGATTTACATTTTCTTTTAGCAATTTGCAGTAAAGTTTTATAAACCCATCATTTCCCCAAATGGCCTGGCCGTGATGTTAACCTGCCCCTTACAGTTAAAATGTTTGTCATTTCCTTCTTCACTGTGGATTTTTTTTTTCTTTCCTGTTATTGTCTCTTTTGAGGCTTTATCTTAAAGAGACCACGCAGTCACAGTTTTTCAGTAACAATAATAACAAAAACCAGGTCCCTTCCAGATCGGAATGAACCCTTTTGTCCTGGGCAGGGAAATACGCCATGCGAGACCTGGTCAACCGGCTCCCAGGCGGCGCCGGCCCCAGCGTGCTGTCGGATGAGACCGTGGCGGCCATCTGCTGTGCCCTACACGAGGTCACCAGCAAGAACATGGAGAATGCCAAGGCGCTGGCTGATTCAGGAGGCATAGAGAAGCTGGTGAACATCACCAAGGGCAGAGGAGACAGGCAAGTCTGCTGCAAGGGGATGCCCGCCCCAGGCCCTCATTCTTGGGTTGGCCCTGTGCCAAGGGCTTTGGTCAAGGATACATTTCCTGTTGGGAGAGATCTATTTCCTCACTTCTTACATGCCAATAAGCTAAGCAGTTAAAACCTATTTTGCTGGGAGAAGTATTTGTGGTCATGGGGCCCCTTTTCTGTTCTTTATTTTCTTGGAGCATCCCTTAGCCCTACAGTTGTCCTGTCCCTAAAGCCACATGTGGTCATTCTGCCTCCTGGAAGAATCAGACATGTCATGGGGAGGAAAACCTGAAGACCTATCTCCCTCGGGCATTTGGCTCTGCTCCAGGCTCTGGGGCCTGTTCTGCAAGAACTTCTTCCTAAATCCTCAGTTCTGGGATTATTTGCTCCCACAAAGTACTAAAATCACCACATGCAGCCGAGCCTACGTGTGGCCTCAGGATGAGCCCTGGGCTTGGATCATATGTCACTTCTGGGTGACACCCAGGTAATGAAGCATCAGAAGGATGCTGCATCCTCAGTGTCTAGAACAAAGCCTGACCCCCAGTTAGTAAACACTTATTAGCTGGGTGAGCATCAGTGCTAGAAGTCACATTGTATATACTTTTGAAATAGTTTGTTGATAAAATAAAAGAATAATGTAGCAAAGCATAGTCTCACTCCACAGAAACCACAGCTATCAACGTTATCCATATTTCCTTTTAGTCCTTTTTTTCTTACGTATGTATCTGTTTTATCTCATTAGTAATAAGTACACACACACTCCTTTTTATTTCAAAGGAAATGAAACATTACAGAAAAAGCTAAGTTCCTGTTCCACTAACTCCCCTTCTCTCCCATCTTCCATAAGAGTAACCAAAATCACATTTTGTGCTCTTAAAATTTTGTGAGGTAGCCTTTATTTGTGAAAGGCATAAGAGCAGGCTACAGAAATGCTGATACAGTGCCAAAATGTTTGTATATTTTTTAAAAAGTCTAATTTTTTTATTCAAAACAAGAGATTCAGAGAGTCCTAGAACAAATCAAGTTTTCTTCTGAACATAAACTTACTTTCCTTTCAGTTCACTCACCAAGCATCTGTCTCCTGCCAACCTGCCATGTGCTACAGCGGTGTGCAGGTCACACCTACCTACAGGCAGCTTACGTTCCCTGGGCCGAGCAGACAAGGTTCCAGTGGAGTGAGCAGCACACTTAGCCTGTGGATGCCTGTGGATGGGGCTGAGTGTGTGGCAAGTAATAAAATCAGGGATAGTTATAGGGCTCGCCAGGGTGAGGAGGGGGTGTCAGAATTTTAGACACGGTCATCGGGAAGACCTCAGGAAGATGGTGCTTCTTGAGCACAGACCTGGAGGAGGGAGGGGAGAGCATTTGGGGGCAAAGGGAACAAGTGGAAGGGCCCAGAGATGGAAGAGCACCTGTGTGTGTGATGAAGGGCAGGAAGTCAGAGGGGCTACAACAGAGCAAGCAGCAGGGAAGAGGGGGAGGGACAGTAACCAGAAGTATAGGAGCCTCTGGGTCAGTGTCAGAGGACTCTGACTTTTACTCTGAGCAAAACTGGGAGCTATTGGAGAGTATACAGCAGAGGAGAGACGTGATCTGATGTCCCTGAAAGTAATCAGAGTGACTCCACAACCTCTTCTCCCCTGACTCCTAATGAGACTAACGGTGACAGGACTTGAGGTGGAGAAGAAGTGGTTGATCCTGATATGTTGGAAAATAGAATCAGTGAATGGGATTTACTGAAGGACTAGATGAGCAGCAGGAAAGAAGGAAAGTGTCAAGGATGACTCTGAGGTCTTTGGCAGAAGAGACCATGGGATGGAATTGCCACTTACCGACATGGGGCAGCTGGCAGGAGCAGCAGGTTTTCAGGGAGGACCAGAGTTTGGGATGTGATACACTTGAGATGGCTATTAAATATCCACGTGAGGGTCTGGTCAGGAGTAGAATATACTCCAGTCAAGTTCAAGATAGAGGTCTAGGCCACAGATCAATTTGAGAGTCATAGGGTGTAGATGGCATATTTAGAGAAGAGAAGTGGGATGAGATCAACAAGAGATGCAGATAGAGAAGAGAGGAGGGCTAAGGGCTCTGGTGTCCCTCATGGTTTGAGGTCAAGGAGATATGAGGAACCAGCAGTGAGCCCAAGAAAGGGTAGCCAGACCATTCAGAAGAGACCCAGCCACACCTGGTGCCTTTCAAGCCACATGCAGAAAGTGTTTTGAAGGTCAGCGCATATCACATGTGCTGCTCAGCCAGGTAGAACTAGGATTGAGATGTGCCCAGTTGAACAATATTGAGGAGAAGATGGGATGAGAGAAATTAGAGATGAGACTGCATAGTTGCATCCAGGAATGGTGCTGCAAAGGGAGAGCAGAGGACCGTCCTTGTTTTCTCAGGAGTCAGGTTTCTGCTCAGAGAACCTGTCCCTAAAAATATGTGGCCTAGCTGTTGGTGTCAAGGTGTGCACCTAGCACACCCCTGCTGTCAGGTTTGTGGAGGAGTCCTTGGAGCCAGGTCTGAGGTCTGCCTTTCCTGACCTGATTCCAGCTGCCCAGCATTTAAAGATGGAAAACAATAGCAGCAGCAATAGCTGCTGCGTGAGACCCTGGCTGAGAGCGGGTGGCTGTGAGGTGTGGAGACCTTGCAGGACCATCACTGGTGTCTGAAATTTCCTATGCATTCTCTTCTTTAGGGTATTCCTTGCTCTATTGTCTGCTTTGGAAATTTTAAATTTAAAAAGTCTTAGAGTGGTTGGGTCTGACCCAGATTTTCCCTTGACTCACCTCTGAGAACTGAGATTGTGAGGCCCCTGCACTTGCCTACGCGCCACCCCCCTGCTGAAGCCTCAGAATCATCACAGCGCAGATTCTGTTGTGATGGACTGGATGGAGGAGGTGCCACCAGCCTGCTCACCTCTCTTCTTCCCCCATGTCCTGAGGGTTTAGTTGGGAAGATAAGGAATGGAAGAGGACATCAGATCAAATCTTCAATATCAAAATGAAATCTGAGGACAGAGGTGTTCCATTCTCCTCAGGGCCCCTGAAGTACGCTCACGAGGTGCTCTGAAGGCCTTCGCTGAGGCAGGAAGCTACATTCCCGCTTCCCTTCATGGTGAGGCCACTGACTGAGAGGACCAACTCCTGAGGTGAACTGTCTGGACTTGTGGTCAGTGGTGCTCTAATACAGCACTGACATTCAATAGACAGTCTTCAGAGAGGAGAGGCAGTAACTGACGTTATTTTCCAAGGCAAATATGAGAGCTCACAGACACATGTGTTTACAAAGAGGTATACATGATAGGAAAGTTATAAGAAGGCCTAATAATGGTTCAGCGGATATTTCAGTCAACTTGGCAGGGTCCTCAGACCCTTGGGATGTGTGGTCACGGTAAGCAGTCATGGGCTCATTCCAACCACAGCTTCTGACCACACAGCTGAATGCCTGGGAGACTTTATTTGTTCCCTGCCACATCTTGCCAGCCCTGAACTTGACAGACTCCCAGGGGCCCCTCACACCTTGGTGGTGGTTGCTAGCAGCAGCCTCCTCCCTGCCAGGGTCCTTGGAGAGCGGCCTCCTGGCCACCACTTTGCTGCCAGTCTCTCTCAAGTGGAGCCTGGGGCGGTGCTGCCCACGTTCATTAACATGCCTCCTCTTTCCCTAGATCATCTCTGAAAGTGGTGAAGGCAGCAGCCCAGGTCTTGAATACATTATGGCAATATCGGGACCTCCGGAGCATTTATAAAAAGGTAACTTACGAGAATAGCTCTAGTATAATTAGCATTCATCAGAGCGCACAGTCGTAATCATTTATTATCATGAAATGTCATTTTTCATTTTGAGAGGTTTCTTTCTCTCTTTTAACTCCACAGGATGGGTGGAATCAGAACCATTTTATTACACCTGTGTCAACGTTGGAGCGAGACCGGTTCAAATCACATCCTTCCTTGTCTACCACCAACCAACAAATGTCACCCGTCATTCAGTCAGGTCAGTGGGTAAACGCCCCTCCTAGGTGATAGCGTGTGACAGAACGTTGTTTCCCATCCGGAGAAGATTGAGCATGCATGCTGAAGTCTGTCGCTTCCAAACACTGAGGGAAGGAGAGTTTGCTTTTCAAACTGAAAGCCTTCTTCAGGAATTACATGTTATTGTAAACAGCAGGCCCACTCTCCTCCTTCCATTTTAAAGGTTTATGCAAGTTTACATCAACTAGGGTGCACAAAAGTGGCCCAGCCTCCTCTGTTACCCAGGCTTCTGCTTCACTAGGTTTGCCAAGGGGCCCAGAACCTGCACTTCATAAACTGACCTGGTGACGCGGATATAGGAGAGTGGAGGAACACACTTTGAGAACCATTAGCTTGTGCCTGAAAATGGTTGCCCTTGTCTGCCTGCTGGCCATAAGTCTGAAATCTCTTCCAAAGTGATTTTTTAGGTTTCTTGATGAAAACTCTTAGAGTCCTTTAGACCCTGGGAGAGCCATGATCTCCCCCTGCACCTTACTTCTCACGAGCTAAACCTCTGTCTGCTGGCTGCACCCAGACCCCAGCATCCACAGCTCATGGGCAGGCCTTGTAGGTGGCTTTATAGGGATTCCCTGTGATTTGTAAGTTGGGAGTCTTGGCAACCATGCTACCTACTTATTAGTGGTATTTAATTTGGTAGAAAGAATGTTTTGAGACTCAATGTAATTTTTTTTTTACATGTAAGAACAGAATATTACCACCAAGTTGATTCAGTCCTGTAAATTTAATTCTTAACTAAATGAAACAGGAAAAGTAATAAACATCTTTTATTTGGCTTTAAATCTCCCCTTCTGACATATAAATATTATCTGTTGTATTCAATTGTGTTCCTGCTGGCAGTCTTATTTCTCTTACGGACAAATGTGGCCAAAAAGACTAATATATGACTGCGGGTTCTTGTCGCGTAATTAGATGTCTTCACTTATACCAGGAATTTTTAAAAATTATCTCCGCCTACTGCAGTGATATATGTTTATATCTTAGTTTTTAAATTATGAGTTGTTTTCCTTCAAAAAGACCTCTGCTTGGGTTTTGACACATTCTTGCTGGGCTCTCAGGTATAGCCTGAGGCCGTCCTGCTTTATAAAAATGCTCAGGATTCTTTAGGGAGCTTGGAAAGAGTGGTGCCAGGACAAGTGGGAGAGCTGGCCGCTTAACGAAAGGCATGTGTACAGGCAAAAAAGTAATTTCAGACAAATTAGGACGTAGTCGGTAAGCAATGAACTCATTTTGAGAACTCAAATATGCACACTGGACAGTGCTGACGAGCCCCATCCAAGTTCCGAGGTCCCTTTCTGGGTTCCATTTGAAGGTAGGATATAATTCACACTTGTTTCTCCAGTTATTCTGAGGGCTGATCATCCATCCCTCAGGGCTAGTGTGATATCTGCTTATGGGCACATCTCATATCTTGCTGACATATTGATAATAGTGGGAGGCAGGTGGGGACGTCTACCTACCTTCTAGAAAGTAGGATGAGAAGCACATAGACACTGCCCATGCTCAAAATATTTTCTAGGGAAGATATTTTGCTATCAGTCTTCCTCTGAAAGCATCAATGCATGCAAAACCACCAGTGGCAGGTCTGGGGGCTGCTGCTCTCTAGTGGATCCAGTGAATAAGTGACCACTCTTAATTGTAAGACACTTCAATACAAGTAAGATGATTCCTTAATGAGAAAAAGAAGGTGTGCAGTGTTTTCCTTCTGTGCGAAAATGTCCCACAGGATACCCAAGGGTAGATATGTTGTTATGAAATGTTTGGCTCCAGCTGGATAAAAAAGCTGGACCTTTGTGAAGCTGGGCTTCTCAGCATCCTGAGCTTTTTGATGAGCAGGGCTTACTGAGCTTATAATTTCCCTGACAGCTGATCACCATAAAAGGAATTATAAATTTCATGGGCTGGGCACTCTTTTTCAAACACATTTAGAGATGCAGATATTTTTGAAATCATCAGAAATCAAAACATGCCATAAAACATCTATTTACTGAAGAGCTATACATTAAGGATAATAGATGGGTGTGTCACGAGCAACTAAACTGAGATCATAAAACAGCAAACGAACTCTTGCATTAGTCTCAAAGGCCTGAGCAGGTCGTTGAGACCTGCCATCTCAGTGGGGAAACTGCACGACCCCTGTACCACGCTGGGCTCCCCAGCGATCTCTGGGGTTGACAGCACTGATCATCACAGTGGCCGGTCTACAGGCCACTATCCAGGGACCCGGAGTTGGCTGCCCTCCAGCTCTCAGCATCTCTAAGAGCTGACTTTAGTGCTGGCCACGTCTAATTATTGACCTTTGTTCTTCCAGAAAGGACTTCCTAGAGACACTGACAGTCTGATTTCTCTTTTCTTCTCCTCTCTCTCCCCATCCTCCTTTCACCTGTCCCTTCAGTCGGCAGCACCTCTTCCTCACCAGCACTGTTAGGAGTCAGAGACCCTCGCTCTGAATACGATAGGACCCAGCCACCTATGCAGTATTACAGTAGCCAAGGGGATGCCACACACAGAGGCCTGTACCCTGGTAAGATGCCAGTCGGGTGTGTGATAGAGTATCTCGAAAAGCCGCGTGTCCCCAGGCACTTGAACGGCAGCCTGGGAGGTAACCTCTGCCTGCCTTGAGATGGTCCCCCAGCAGCAAACCATGGTCCACTCTCTCCATCTCCTTCCTGCTTCAGGGGCTGTTGCCTTTCCCACTTGTTTTAAGTAAAACAAGCAGAGGCAGTGGTCTGCTGACCACAAATGAAAAGAGCACTGTATCCAAGTGAGAAAGCATTTCCGGCTCCCCTGCAGCACAGGCCCTTTGTCCTGCCCCCTCCCCACTCCCCTGTGTGTTCCAGAAACCTGTGCTCTGTGACATTTGGCAGGGCCAATCTCCTGGACCGACTCATACATTCAAACCTGCGGATGGGGGTCAATTCCATTTGCATTTTCGTGGAAAAGTTTGAATGAATAACAAAATATATAATGTGATTCTCCTCAGAGTGATTATTTATTTTTTAAGAATAACAAAAGTGATGTTGCACAGTATTATTTTTATGTCCTATTCAGAAAGCCGTGCATATAATTTATTTAAAGAATGCCAACCTGAAGGGTTAACCATGATTTCATATTATCTCCATTCTCAGCTATCTTGCAAATTGAAACTACTCTGGAGGTTTCAAAAAGGGGGGGAACCCTCCTTTCTCAAAAAAAAAAAGAAAAATATTTCTTGAAAAGAAATAAAAGCTGGTGGCAATTTAACAACTGCTGGGGGAGCAGTCTCAGTTGTGCTGTTGTCTTTAAAATTGTGATTCCACAGGACTATTTACTAATCGACTGTTGTTACTATGGCAATTAATAGCTCAGAAAATTGCAGATGCTACATTTCAAACACCAAGCTCTTTGCAGAGGAAATGCACATACCAACTGAAGTGCATTGTTGCTTCAGGTTTGCAGCAGCCTGCTTTATTTTAAAGATCGCCTCCTTAGCATGCGCGCCCTTCTGTATCTTCTTTGCTTGCTTCAATAAACTAATTTGCCTCAAATATGTTTCATTTTCCTCATTAAAATAAAAATCTTTGCTAGCCTTAACAATACTAGAAGGGTAACCAGTGACATCATCAGAGTCTACTGTGGACTCTTGAAGACAGCTATCTGGTTACCAGGTTCTTTTTAAGACATACTCAAATACAGCAGACACAAGACTGTGCCTCCAGGTGGCCAGCCTTTTAGAACACAGGCTGTGCCTGCTCCTTGCAGGCCCTGGGATTTTGAATCAAGGCTGTTCAGAGGGCATGGAGCTTGTTCTGCTGTTTCCCTTCCCCCATCTGAGGGGTGGGGGCAAAGCTCAAGAGCCCTGGAAAAGCCATGTTCCTGGGCTCCGGGGGCAAGTCTGCTGTTCAGAAAGCCAGCCAGCAGACATCTGCACAGGTGGGAAGAGCTCCCCATAGTGACCACAGGTTGAGAAGGAATCCTTTTTGGATCTGTGCATTGGCATTTCTTTTTGGTGAAACACACAGCCTCTTTTTGCCATATTCATTAGCCCCTGAGAGCCCTGGGTTAGGCAGCAAGCAGGCTTGATCTGGGGCACCCAGGCTGCTAACCGTCTGGGGCTGTGCCATGCCCGGAAGGCAGGGCCTGTCGGGCACACCACCAGCCCTAGCCCTGGGAGTCCATATGACCTAATGGACCGGATAATGAGCACTAGTTTTAATTTCATAAAATATTTTCTTACAGGCTCCAGCAAACCTTCACCAATTTACATCAGTTCCTATTCCTCACCAGCAAGAGAACAAAATAGACGGCTACAGGTGAATTTGCAATACCATTTTTACAGAAGGCTGATTAGCAGGGATCAACACAGTAAGGGGTCCGCACCGGTTGACTTACCTGAGCTGGGCCCACTGCGGGGCCGGGGAGCTGTCCCAGGGGATCTCTGTTCCTTGGAAGCTCATCCGTGGTTTAATCAAATCACTTCTGCAGTAGCCTCTTGTCTTTGCATATCCGAATTGGTAACCCCATGCCACTGATGGCAACCAGCTGAGAAGTCTTTAACTCCTGTTCTTTACCCAACAGTTTCCTTTTCCCACTTTTTTTTTTTTTAATCTCTGAAATCTCTTCTGTTCTCTGGGTGGGGAAAAATCAGTAAGCACACTTCGTCCTCTCACCGCATTGTTCTCTTTTTTGTATCTCCGTCTCTTTCTCCATCTTCATGGCTCCCTCTGATTTGGGCCTCCATGGTTTGAAGACACTTGAGTCATAGGCTCAGAGGTCACAATGGACTCAGCCCTACAGGGGTAGACCCCACTCCCCAGCAGAAAGGGGACTAGTGATTGTAACATTTATTCTCTGCTTTCGTGGGGGCCTAAAATTCATTTTGGTCCTGTCTGATGCCATGTCCACCAGGGTCATCTGATCTCTCCTCTTACCTTCCATTAACACAGCAGTTGGGGATTTCCCAAACAAGCCTGTAAGCTGCCCTGCAGATAAGGATGCTCTCAGACCTCCTTCCATATCTTTTCTCTGTAGATGGAAGAAGAACCTCTCAAGTTACTCATAATCTCTGCTATAGTTTTTTCGTCAGGAGAAATAGCCTCAGAATCATCACTCAAGTTAAAAAGCAAATTTAGCTCTGAAATCCTTATAATATTAGAATGCCTTTAGTTCCAGAATATGGTGTTGATCCATATGTGGTAAATTTGTAACATCTTGCTACAGGCAGGGCGGGGTGGAATTTGGGCATAATCAGGAGGAAAGACCAACATTAGAACCATTACAGTTTTTCTCTAAACATGTGAAGAAATCAATATGAAGTCAGAGATAGACAGCACAAAAGGAAACGAGGGCAGGCTGTGGGTGTCCACCTGTGTTTCACTTTGCTTCCTTATAGATGAAGTTAGTATCAGCCCTGGCTTGGGGGAAGTCTGTTTCTTTTGAATTGTATTTGCTCACATATCTCTTCTAATTTTACTGCTCTCCTGCCGGAGATTGCTTATTCGTTTAAAAGCACAGCAGGGTTTCCAAAGTGTGACTTGTTCACTGGACTACATATTTCTTTTAAAACTGAGGGATGGACTCAATCTTCATCTCTGAGATAAATGTTTTCAAAGATGGTTTTGCAATTACACAGCAATCTGAAGCCCCAAAATCCAACCTTTAACTGGGTTCTTGATATGCTAATTGTACCCCTGTGTCAAAGCAAAAATAAAGGCCATCTTTCAACGGGCATGCCCAGGTCACAGGTCACAGGCTCTTCCAGAGCAGAGCACAAAACTTGGCCTCTAGGAAGGAGGGAGGTAGCAGGGGCTATCTGGGGTTCTGTCAAGTCGCTGACTTCTAGAAGTCATAGGATAGGACTTGAACCAACTGCCAGCTCACCTGTAAGCAATTTAAAATCCTTCCAGTCCACTAGTAAACATACAGTGTGCACCAGGAAAACGTTCAATGATAGATTCACAAACACTGAATATTGCTTTAAAAATATAAAGCAGGAAGCCCACATTAATTTTCCTTAAACATATACTTCCAAAAATTGCCTTGATTTATTTGCTTTCTCATTTTGCCAACAGCATCAACAGCTGTATTATAGTCAAGATGACTCCAACAGAAAGAACTTTGATGCATACAGATTGTATTTGCAGTCTCCTCATAGCTATGAAGATCCTTATTTTGATGACCGAGTTCACTTTCCAGCTTCTACTGATTATTCGACACAGTATGGACTGAAATCAACCACGAATTACGTGGACTTTTATTCCACTAAACGACCTTCTTACAGAGCAGAACAGTACCCAGGGTCCCCAGACTCGTGGGTGTAGCATCCTGATGCTCCAGAGAGAAACTCTTTCTTTCTAACTTTGTTTGGATTGAGATGAGAAGTCCGTCTTGCTGATTTGCTGATGAAATGTGAAAGTGACATGGAAGGAATGAGTGAAGAGCATTTTCTTTTTTTCTTTTTTGAGGAATTTTCAGGGAAGTGAGGCAACCTTCGGGAGAAAGGACTTCCTAAGCTATACTTAGGTGTTAGATCTAATTACTTGTAGATTCTATAGTCTGGTGAAGGTGTGGGCGATGTGATGAGAGGTTTGAGAAATGGGTGAAATGAGATGGGGGATGTGTAGGTCAAATCAAATTAAAAATGATTTTTTTAATGTGAATAAGTTATGTTCTGATAGTTTGTACAGAAAAATAAAATGGATGCCCTTCGTGTTTTATTGCTATTACTAACTGTCAAGATTGTATGCTATTGTGTCTTGTAAATTTCCTTTGTTGATGTAAATATGGAAATGCCACATTGGTTAAGTGCCATCACTTGTAACGCAGTGTGTCGTCTGAAAAGAGATTTGAAGAAAAACTGACAGCTTAAAAAACAAACGGGAAACCCAAGGAATTGTTAGCAGTTAAAAACAAACTACAACATCCTTTGTTTTCAAAACGAGTAGTGTACCTTTGAAGCACAAAGTCCAGTCTGGTATAGCAGCGCCATGCCCATTCCCTGCCTCTTTCCTAGGACACTTCACTGCCATTTTCTATGCACATGAAAGAAAAATAAATGTGGAAATTTCATCCTTGGAAATTTGTTCCCTGTTCTTTTTGTTTTTTGTTTTTTTTTCTGTGTATGACACAGAAAAGTAGGTGAATCTCATTGCATATAGGAAACAGCTTAAATATATCCATCTATTTTGGACTTTTCCCAGTTCCATACAGTTAATATACTTTGCGGAATGGACTATTCCACAGAATAACACTGTGAACTTTCCTCTTCTTTATCTATCTTAGTGTTTTTATTTCTTGTGATCTGTTTTTAATCTAATGCCCATTATCATTTTATCATGTTTTTTTTCCAGACTGCTGTATATTTAACACCACTTTTCACCGAAGACAAATTACATCTGGCAGCCTGGCCCTAACTAAAATGGCAGACTCCTTTTGGCATCATTTTAAGAACTCCGTAACTGCGTAAGAACAGTGGTCGGGCACTTATTGGTTGACAGCAATGTAATAACCTGAAACAAATTCTAAATAATTATTTTGCTGAGTAATCCCTTGAGACAGAATAATTCCTGGCTTAGAGACAGGGTAGGGAAGCCCCACCATGCATGGCAGGCGGGGGTCCTCATAATACCAAGCTGCATCCCTTCCTAGCCCTTCTCCACCCCTGAAGACCCAAAGTCTGAGAACTTCCCAGGTCTTGTGATTTCCACCCTGGGTCTTACATGGAAAACAACCCATACAGCAAGTCAAACCCAGTGGAGTTCACTCAGCTCAGTATATCCTGCAAATGTGATTATAAAAAAAAAAGACCTAGTCTAACCTGTGTGTTTAAATTTGTGAGTATACAGAGAGTTCCGAGAGGAAAGTGCTTTCTCTCCCTTGCTGAATGGACTACAGCTCAAGAATTAGGCTCCAAAATGAAATGGAAGTACAGGAATAAGCAAAAAGCTTCCTCACATCCAGCTTCCCAGGAGGCAGTAGTGATAAAGAACCCAACCTGCCAATGCAGGAGACATAAAAGACATGGGTTTGATCACTGGGTCAGGAAGTTTTGAAATGCTGCCTGTCAGATGGGGGTCCTGGTTCACCAAGCTACCCCAAAGGTTTCCAAAATCCATGGACACAGGAGCCTGGTGGGCTAATCCATGGGGTTGCAAAGAGTCAGACACTACTGAGCACAAGCATCTCATCTTCTTCCTCATGTCCACCAATGGCAAACCTTTCCGAAGTGCAGGCTTTCTGAAATGACACCAGAGCCAGTTCCCATAGGCAGACAGCCCAGCTGCTCCCAGCCTCACGTGCCCTGGAAACCACCCTCTTTCGATGGCAGAAGCTGCCAGATTTCCCCCAGGGAGCTGGCCTCAGGACTTTGGAGATGTCTGGTGTCTGAGAGTTTTGAATCACTGTCTTCGCTGAACCTGCTTTCCATGCATCTGGCTTAAAGGCCCTCCCCCAGGGAGTCAGGAGTAAAGGACTGTGCAGCGGGCCTGAGCTCACTGACAGTGACTGCTGCTTTTAGTGACTTCATCAACATTTGGGGTTGCTTGGTGAACCAGGACCCCCATCTGACAGGCAGCATTTCAAAAACTGATCCAAATTTAGGTTGCAAAGAATTCACTTGGGTCTCCAGCCAGACCTTGTAACGGGGCCAGAAAGAAGCCTGTGGGTGAGAACTGGGCAGAAGATCAGGTGCCCTCTCAGGCTCCTCCCTGATAACAGAGGAAAAAGGAACCTGCAGATGGAGCCTGAAAGACCGAGCCCTATCCTCACCCCACTCTTCCAGATATGGAAATAGAAAAGCTCTGCTGACACTAACTTGACTTTCTGTTGCTGCCCCCAAAATGTCAGGCAGAACTCAGACCTCCTGAAGAGAGCTGTGCTTCCGCTCAGCCATGGTCAGCGTACTGCCCCGCTCCCAAGTCCTGGAGAATCAGGGCTGAACTGAGCCAGTGTTGGTGAGCTAGACCCGTGCGTGCATCTCCACCCTGACCACACATTAGAGGGCCCCCCCAACACTGACCAGTGGCAACCCCAGGAGCTGGGGTTCAGGCATCTGTTCTTGAGAAGCTCCCTGGCTGATGGCAGCATGTGGTCAAGCCACTTGACCTGCACACCATTCCCCTCACCAGTTTCCTGCCCTGGAACCTGAAAATGTAGCAGTTGGAGTTAGGGTTGGGGAGAGCTTGCCTGGAAGATAGTGATAAAGATTTGGAGTGTTAAAATTGAGATTTTTATTTTTTTAAATTATGAAAGTATGATGACACATTTACAGGAGACTTGGAAAATACAGAGCAAAGTTACATATAGTTCCGCTATGAAAGTGAGAGTGCTATTCCCTCAGATGTGTCCCAACTCTTTGCAACCCCATGGACTATATAGCCCACCAGGCTCCTCTGTCCATGCAATTCAGCAGGCAAGAATTCTGGGGTGCCATTCCCTTCTCCAGGGGGTCTTCCCAACCCAGGGATCAAACCTGGGTCTCCCATATTGCAGGCAGGTTCTTTATCATCTGAGCTACAGGGAAGCCATATTATAATTATTTTTTAAGTAGCTAAGATTTTTAGTTGGAGTTTCAATATCAAATTCTCAAAAATTAATGGAATGAATATACAGAAAAGTAGAAGGATATAGTAGACCTGAAAACCACTGTGAACCAATTCAACATAATTAAGGTTTATATAATTTTCACACAAGAGTTTGATACAAATACTATTCAAGTTCCCATAGACTATAAACTAGGAGACACTGGAACATATCCAGGGACACAAAGGAAAGGTGCAAAAATTTCATGGTCTCAAGGTTAAAATTGAGATCTTTAAAAATGTGAGAAATGAGGTTTTTCTTCTTGCCAGTGTACATTATCTTTTGCCCATGCATACTTCTTAAAAAGTTATGAAAGCCCGTGGGTGTTTCATGAGTATCAAAAATGAGGACCTCACGTAACTCCTCCAGTCATTAATCCCTGCCCACTGTTTGGTTACCCACATGATTGCTGATTCTTACAGTGAAACACCACAAATTCACATTATCCAGCCCTCAAGATGCGCTCCTAGTATCACAGACATCATTCAGCCCTCACAGCAAATGGATGAAACCTGTACTAACAGCTTATTTTACAGATCCAGAAGCAAACTGGGTGAGTGGCCAAGATGACACAATGAGTGGCCAAGACACGGTAAGTTAGCACCACAGTCTACCTTAACTACAGTGCTAATATTTTTTTAATTGAGTAATCTGAGCTTCAACTGAACTGTTTTCCTGAGGATTTTTCTTCAGCCTTAAATTTGCCAAAGGGAACTTAATCACACAGGGTAAAGGAAAATCTGTCATCACTTACCATAAATAAAAGGCAAGCATAAAAAATGAACATTTAACTATTAAACATACAAATATCCATGTACCACCAAAATTCACTGTCTTCCACCACTGGTGTTACATGAACCAGTCATTTTTGGAAACATGAGTCCTGATCATTCATTCTGATGTCTGTGATAATTTCGGTTGGGCTGAGAACTCCCCTTAAAAGAACTTTGTAAACCATGTCTATGAACACAGGCCCATTAAAACAACTCTCTTATTTTGGAGCCTCAGCAGTGCCTTTGGAGGAACATGTTATCTAAAGACACTGGATGGTTTTACTTCCCTGATCACACCAGATTATGAAGAAAAGAAACTTGCAAATCTGGCCATTACTTCTCACTTAGATTTTTTTAAATTGTTTATAACAGCTTTATTCATAATAACCAAAAACTGTAAACAATCCAAATCTCCAACAGAATAGATGAACAAATTGGAATACCCTTGTGTAATGGAATACTAGTTAGTAATAAGAATGAGCCATAGATAGTCATAATAGCATGGGTGAATCTCAAAATCATGCTCCAAAGAAACCAGACACAAAAGAGTATACATACAGAATGATTCTGTTTTAAGAAGAGGCAAAAATCATCTATGTTGATAGACATCAGAACCGGTGTTGCTAATTGGGGTACCAATATCCAAGGGGTATTGACTAGAGAACTTTAGGAGATGCTGGAAATGATCTGTATCTGTTTGGTTGCTCTTACACAGATGTATGCATTTAGCAAAACTCTTCAAAATGTAGACATGAGATCTTACATCTCATCATATGTAAAATTTATTCCAATAAAAAAATTAACACTTAAAAAGTCACAGAAGAAATGAGTGATAGCATTGTCTGAGACTTAGTTTTATAACCTAGAGTCAAAGTTAATTATTATTACTAGTCTCCTGAGTTGAGAAAAATCCAGTTTATAAATTTCAAACCTTATAAAACATCCACTTATAGTAGTTTCTCAGACTA